TTCTTTACTTTTCATTCAAATTGTCTCCATTACAGTCCTGGCTCACCAGCCCAGGATTTTCGATGTCTTCAGTCGTTCTCGCAATCTTAAGAATGTGTTGCAACAGCCCACGACTGTTTCATCGCACGTCTTTTCCGTTTCATTATGCATGATCTTAGATCGCTCTGATAGTGGAGACAGCAAGGACGTCTGACACGTTGGTAAACTTTATACCAGACTCCACGTGGCACTACAGAAGACAGCCATCTTGGTATTCACCGCCGTGAGAACATCAAATACCACATGTATAATATCACTCTGCCATTTTTAATTTGTGGATATACGAGCAGGTAGCAAGCAGCTGGTAACCCTATTGTAATTCTGAACGGATGTCTCCTGAATTAAAGTCTGTAGAATTCTCTTTGCACCAGTATGTTGGAAATATACTACCAGAGGAGCTATTTCCGCAAAAACGTTTGCAAACGGATTCATTCTTTAATTTATTGTTTTTTTAAACTGTAACCAGCTTTCTGATTATACAGATACCACGAAATGATAAAACGGGTGAAATTGTTGCACTGTATTAACGAGAGTGAAATGTTGCATATTTGTGTGTATTTCTGGAGTTTCATTTATAGACTATGTTTTTGCATGGTCCCTGTGTCCGTAAATTGAATGCAACTTATATGTTTCAACACAGAACAATGAAGCTTTGTGTTAACTTATGTATGAATTCTTGTGAAAAACTTCCACATTACAATCCTGAATCAGTCTTGTCAGAAACACACAGCTTTTTTTATTATAAAAGTGTGTTTCCTTTGCGAATAGACCCGGTTTAGTCCTGTGTGAGTAAATTCCCAGAAACTTCACCAACAAAACTTAAGCACTATGCTGAGTTTGAAAATCCAATAATGTGGTTTTTGAATATGAAAAGTTTGAATCAAAGAAATGGCCTCAGGCCCTAATTTGTTAAGTTAATGAAGATAAGTGAGTGTCAGAACAAAAGCAGCTTGGTTTTTCAACATGTTTGAAATTACATAATTTTTTTTACATGGAAATTAATTCAACAAGGAACTGAATGAATGCAGCCAAAAATATGTAACCGCCTTGCATTATTCTCCAATGAAGATTGAATTGCACTTGTACGTACTTAGATAGCGTGATAAAATAATATTTTGGCAGCACAAATCTGAAACTTCAGTACTCTTAGTGGGCTACCAAACAAATCCCGTCTTATACACGATTCTGAGCAGCTTCAATCCACCGCCATTCGTCAAAATCTATCTTAATATTATCCCTCTCTCCGTGGTAATATTGTTGATGCAATTGGAAAGTACCGAGCTGGAGTGTCCTTCACTAGCATGGCCTTGGTGACAAGTTAAATTAAAATCGATCAACCGATTCAAAACTCGTTAGGGACAAAGACACCGACAGGATTTTCCTTACAGCGTACGCTTTGTTTACCTCATGAAACGGTAAGCCTCGCATTCCTCAAAAACGCAGAAAGTGGGCTGAATACTAAGCAACCAAACAACTTTTAAATTAGTTCTGTTCCACACACAGGCTAATCCTGCTTCGCTGCAGTCTACTTTGAGTTTAACGTGTTACGCAGATAAGGTGATAATGGTTGCCAAGTCATCATCATGCCACAGTTTCAGGATTAGGAACGAGCTGAATTTAGTAGAATTTGAGATTTTCATGGCGGCGAATACGAAGTTGGCTGTCTTATGAGCGAATCTCCCTGATGAGGGGGCAACAAGTACCTCTGAAACGTCGGTAAGCATTTACCAGACTACAGGGCGCTACAACCCAGAAGACAGCTATCTTCTTGTTGATTTTAGTTTGTAAGTTTCTAAGCATATCCAGAAAATTTAGACATTTAAATAGTTCGTGTTTTATGGTTCTGTTACTGTGAGAGAAGAAAACATTTCAATTCAGAATATTATATAATAAGGAATATCGTGATTTATCGAGCCCACATCGTGTTATTAGTATGAGGAAATGTTTGAGATTTCGATGGATTAGGCACGGAGCAGGGATTTGAGAGACAATACATGCGAACAGAATTTTGGTGAGGGAATGTCTTGGAAAAGCCAAAGAGAGGGAAGTGGTAGGAAAACTAAGTGGATCTTACGGAGGCTGGGTGTAAGGATCAAACATGGAGGGAGTGTTTGATTTGACTTACGAGAGTTAGTAAGTTTAATTAACACCTTGTTGTGCATATATTTAGAATTTAGTAATTTCATTAATTGTTTGATTAGTCAGTCGGTAACATTTTGTTAACACTTGCATATTACACAAGTTAAAAATGTCATCCAATGTCTCTTTAAAATACGGTTGGAAAGAAGTCTTCTCCCTGTGACGAAAGAACGATCATGTATGGTGAAATAAGAAGATGCGTGAGGAAGAGTTCGTTGCCTGTTTTAATGATGTATCCAGAATTTCGAGTGGAGGAACTGAGGAAAATCACAAGTCTCTCAGTCGGGACATTACGGATTTAGTAAACTGTAACCGCAGTGCACGTCATAAGCGTTACAGCTTGATCGAACCCACTCTGCGGTATTTCTTTGAGTGAAAGAAATCTGATTAAACACGCCACACGTTGAATGATAAGTTTGAGAATGTCGAATTCTGACATATCTTACGTAACTGGATTTTCCCAAAGACATATTTTAAGTATGGTGCTCATTTTATTATTTGCTGGTATTTTCTCACAGGTCCTCCAATCACCTTCGGTATCTGTCGCACGCATGATATGAAGTGTCATCGTAATCATGCATATTTGCACGTTAACGTACAGACAAGCCGTATTGCACATTATTGCGACAACGTGATGGTTGTAAATCACGTCGGTGCCTGATGGAGGTTTATCTAAGACGAAAGGCGCCATAGCTATAGAATGGCAGTAACAAGTGAACTATGTTCATGCGCAGCTGACATGACGTAGAGCGTGATCATCTTATGGCGCAGGCTCGAGAGCGGATAGCCCGATTTTAATTAAATTGAATATTGCAGAGTTTTACGAAGTGTTGTCTAACAATTTTAATTTTAATTTATATCTTACAATTTTAAAGATGGCTTTGAATAAGAGCTTAAGTACTTCTTTGAGCTTATCTCAAATGCTTGCGAAAACGTTGCATGGACTAATCAATCTCATAAATTGAATTTAGTTTACTTTGGTTAACATTTACTCCATTTTTCAAATAAAATTCTTCATTGTGTCCATAAGGCGACCTTTCTCTCACCAGCCACGTAGCTACAGCCACCCGAATCAGGGATTAGATTCTATGATACCGAGTCGACTGTTGAACATAGAAAGAAAGGCAAAGGAAACAAGTAGAAATAGAAAGAGAGTAAGAAACCAAAAAGGAGAGCGAGAGGGAACTGTCCCATGGAAACGAACATCAACATCTTTGCTGGGCTGTGCTGACTGTGTAGTATAATACCAAGACGCTAGTTCTGAATTAAGGCGTTGTTTACACATGAGTTTAGTGCATGACTGGGATATTTAGAGTTACAGTTACGTATTCAACCAGCACGTCTTTTTCTAAAATATGAATCACACGATTTGTAGAAGGCGCCAAATCTCTTTCTGCGTTTTTAGATTCAGTCTTCTCAGAAGCGATTAAACTATACAGATATCGTTTATAACATTCGGCGAATACCAAGCATGAGCATGTAGGTTTTGTTACTATAATAAAACAGTTGTAAGAAGTTGCGGTTGCCTCATCCAACGCTTAAAAATCACCAAAATCCTGCGCATGACGAAATTACGACATCTAAGATGAAATTTGAAATTTTTATGTTCCAACGAGTGACCAAAGAGTTTTATGGGTGGATAGTGCTGAACGGTTTACAGAGCAAACTAAGTAACGGACTCCATGATACAGAACTTCCTTTGAGATATAATAGTTATTCAGCTGTTAAAGACTTTCTTTGCTTTTATGAGACCATAATGTTCATCACTTCTACAAAAGCCCGCCATTATACCCTATCTCGAGCCAGTTAAATCAGGTCAAAATCTTCATGTATAGGCCGCCTATGATCATATCTCCATTGTGGTCTTTTCATGATTTTTCCCGACAAAATATTTTGTACGCATTTCTCAGTCTAACCATGCGTGCTACATACCATGCCTATGACATCATTCTTGTTTTAAACACTCTAACAGTAAGTTACCATACGAAGAGTACAAATTATTTAGCTCCTTGTTGTATTATTGTACAGTTCTTTGTTATTCCCTGTCTGCCTAATTCATATATCTCCCTCAGAACTAAACTGAGCAGCTAATATCGAGCATTTGCGGTACAAGGCTAGTGGTTTCCATTCTCAATTCTTTATCATGCACAGTTAACGAGACGCGTGTTGTGTAAGGGATGAACTTATACTACAATTGAACATTATCAGCAACTTTTAGTTCACACCTTTCCTCCTAAATTTCGTCCAGATCCATACCATATTTCAGAGATACATCTCTCCATGGGTTCTTAAAAATCAGGGAGAGCCAAAAGTCACTTAGCATAACATAAAACAGCTGCTATTATCTGTAAGTTACAAATATTTTAAATCTGTCTGACCATAAACAAGTGTTAAAGAAATATAGACCCAACCTAGCTCCACCCACCCAGGCACATTCATCGCCCTGATGACGGAGGCAGTATGACCTCTGAAACGTTGGTAAACATCGACCAGACTACACAGCGCAACAATCCAGAAGACAGAAATCTTCATACTCACCGCTGTGAAAACCTCAAATCAAAAATATAGACCCAGTTTTCGAAACGATTGGTGCCCACAAATTGTCTCAAAGGTGCAAGAAGGAGTAAAGAAACTAAAGCAGACAGAACATAACCTACAACAAACAGTTCATAATAACTGCGCGAACAGGGATTGGTTGATTGGTTGTACCGGCTGCTGCGTCATGGCACAGGGCTTCCCTGAGTGGGCGGGCTGCCCTATAATGTATATATAACATGCGGGTGACTGGTCGGAGAGTCATACCACTGCTTGATCTGACACAGGTAGCCAGCGACAACGCCAGAGTGTTGGATTACATAAGTCCGTTGCATCGGCTTACATCGCTCAAGATGAGGAGAGGAACAATTGTTGTGTTATGGGTCGTCCTTCTCGTCGCGCTGCTGACGGTTTCTCAGGCGCACGCAAGACCTCACAGGTAAGCCATTGCATCATTGTTGACGAGTGCGTAATTTCTCGATCATTGAAGTCACTTTAATGTCTTCTTAAGATCATAAAAGTGTGGTCATCTTATAACACAGAATTGCTTCGAATGCAAAACACTTTGCAAGAACGTTTGTATGTGTTCTGTCCCTTGAAAACAGTATTGAACTCTGATGTCATAAACGCCTTATCACACAACAGTGCATTGTTTCATAATGCAATGCCATGATATACGTATAAAAAAGTCTGCACGCTTCCAATCCTACTTAAGTGGTCAGAAACTCAGATGTATGTTTTTTTTCCAATACTGTATACTTTTATTTGCGCTTCTATTATTAATATCATCATCTTTCATTACTGTAACTATAATATTTTTACAGAATTCAGTGGTGTCACGTAAGGAAATAATTACAGAAGATAGTTTGTGTTTTATAGCGATGTGTCGGTAACAACTTAACTGGGTGAATTACCCAAACTCCGTAATTTGATAACATCGTTTGTTGTCATTTCTCACTCCAGAGTTTATCTGAATTTGACGAAATGTTCAGTAATTGAAAGACGCGACAGAATTTCATCGTCGAATGCGCTACAGAATACTTTCTGAAGAAGGATGTACGTCAACACTTACATAGAAGGCATTCTTTCCGATATGCATATTCATGTGAATAGCAAAGGCTATAAGTTAACAGTTATTTCGTAAAAATTATAGAATCTCTACTTTTCAAATTGTAATTACTAGCAGATGGCAAACTTTAAAACTTTCGATAGGTATCACAGGTTTCGAGTTTTCGCACTCTTGAAAAATGGGTCTGTGAACAAGTGATATTTGGTTCTTGATACTTCGTGTATTGTTAGTTCCTTTACGCATTGTGATATGACTATGTTTTGTACCTTCATGCTTCATAAATAATTCATTAATTGGTACCGCGAAAGATTATGTTCGAAAGATTGTACCAAAACGGCCAAGGAAAAATCGTAGATATATAAAACAGTGTCCCTACCTTCAAAATATGTTTTAAAGAAAAATTTAAATCCTTTCGATGATATGTCTGTGTATATCATGTAGCATTTTACTTCTAGTAGCTTCGCATAATTAATAATTGTAGAGCCAATGGTTTCTTTTATAGCTTACTTTTCTGCACTTTAAAATCTTCAGCCATTCTTTCAAATTTAGAATGCTTTCAAACTTAGTGAGACCCAGGTGTTACAACTTTAATCGTGCTTTTAAATAAGCGTCCTTCTGCTAGTACATTTTCTAGGTAACATGTAATTAATAAGTTGTAAAATCACGAATAATTATATTTAACGGTTGAGAGTTTTTCTTTAGTGATTTATCAAACATCAAATTCAGTACTTTAAGTGAAAAAGTGAGATATCTCATGCGTAACGTGGAAATGGTTCAATGCAAGATTCTAATTTATTGTGAAGGTGTTAGATGAACTGTAATGCACAGATGGAAAAAATTACCCTTGGGCGCTGGCTAATAAAATATTATTTAAAGGTGGAGGGAGAATCCAGCTAATTTTAACGAAATTTCATGCATGACAAAATTGCTTCTTTAACTATAACAATTTTTTCCATCTGTATGTTTTCCTTCTTTCAGTTATGCGCTTCAACACATTGCTTTCATAGGTTCTGCAAATGCTGACATGTTTCCTGCTTTTCGCCATTTTTGGTTCTTAACAGCAATTTTTTTCTTTTCAGAACTTTTTCTTGTTTCTCTTTTTTTTTGTCTATATGCTGTGTTGTTTGCTGGCTGTTTCACTTGTTTTATATCTTTAACTTTGTTTTGTTTTACAGAAGTATTTATGTTCTGCTTTCCTGCCATGGTTGTTGCTTAATGTTGCTTGTGACTGAGATCGATAAGTGGTAAATATTTATCTACAAACGCGTAACCGTTCTATACTTCTCTTTGTTACACATTCAATACCAGAGCCGAGCGCTCATGTCAGCCCGGCCAACACGGTTAACATGTATAGTTCAATGTATAATATTTTCCTAGTCAAAATAGGAGACGCTGAAGATTCGGGTTTAGGTCCATCTGTTACTGAGAACTGTAATGCTAAGCAGGTCACATAGAAAGAAGGATGGCGGAGGAGACTAAACTTTCGTTCTTATAACCAAGCCTGCCTTAAACTGCATGTCACATTGCCGAATCAGATTTTTCAGTTGGCCTCAAACTACATTGTGCAAAGAACAATCATTACACGAACTGTAGTTGACATTCATGTCACACCATGGTTCTGTTTCTCGCTTTAATGTTTGTTACTTTTATAACTTCGAAAACTCTCTTATTCATGAGCGTCATTTGATGTTTTTACATTTCATTGACCATGAAAGTTTCCCCTAACTTTCCTTGGGTGAAAGTGTGATATTCTGAGTGAATGAAAGGGATTTGCGATATGTCGGGAGGCGTGACCTTGCAGGCACTGTGTAATTAGAATATGCTGAAAAGTGAAAGTAGCTCACGCAATGTCCGATGTACAGGGAGTAATGAACAGTAGTTCTGGGAATGTTATCTCTTGTTTTTAATAATCTCTTAAAATTCCCGCACTCATAATACAGGCAGACATCACATCATTTGCTGTTTTTCCCACTCTAGTTCATTGAACTGCACATTTGGCATACGTCTGTTACATTGTATCTCTGACCCACTTCTACAATAAACCACACTGCTTGAACAACGTAAGCACCAAACTTACAAAATGTATTTATCATCTTGCAATGATAGTGGGCTTGTTGTTCCCTTTTTGGAAGATAGCACAGCAAAGTTCAAGAACATTTTTTGTCCTAAAAATCGTATATAAATTACCAAATGTCTTTCCACTTTTACCGCACAGGATTTCCCCTTCTTTTCGGAAGAGGAACTTTGTAACCACAAACTGCAACCGGTAACAAATTCTCCTTATCAGACTGAGGTTCTATGTTCCAACTAGACCTAAATATTGTTTGTTAGTGGCGAAAATATTAAGTTTATTATGGCACATCTGCTTCTCAACATTGAATGTCCTAATATTATATCTGGAAATCATTTGTCGCTGTGTGTAAACTTGTGAATTATGAAACATGATACTGTTTCAGGCTCGCTTAAGGACTGTGTAGATCTGCGACGTGTCGGGAATGTTTAAGTACAGATATTTGTCTAAATAAAGTTCACAACTTTCTTAAATCCCTAAAAATATAACGTACGAATGGGTCTATAGGCCTTGTATAATAAGATAATTGACTCCTGCAAAGCTTTGTGTAGTTCTCCTACTGGTTTACTTCTTGATAAGAATCGCGACTTTGCCTAGATACGAACAGAGCTTTGTGTTTTCACAGTGCCTGCTTACGGGATTCTGTCAAGGGAACACGGACGTGACGTAATTACGAACCTCAATTGCCCCGTGACGCCATGTTAGGATTGCTTTGTAAGGAAGAGCTATCAGGTAGATGGTATTCTTTTTTCTTGTCATTGGTTTAGCCTTCACACAAATTTAGAATAATTCATATTAACTAAGTTAAAAATCCATATTAATTTCTATATGGACATTATATACACTCATGTCGGAACCCATTCATTTTATGCTTATCACTACATGGTTGAAAGACAGTTTTGCAAAAATACTGTGCTTCACTAACCCTGGCTTCAGTTTGTAGTGACTTTTCCTATCCTCTCCAGACAAATTCTGATTAGTACGTTAACCCACGCCCTTTCTTTGTACATCCGTTCACATTCATCATTCATAAATCATCCTACCATTCGACGTCACATAAACCATACGGAATAATTGGAGAGTGCCGTTAAATAAACAAATACGAAAGACTCTTGTGCAATATTTACACTGCGATGCGCAAAATTTAAACTTTGTAATATAATCAAGCTTGGTTTTTCATATTATTGACTCAGGCTGTAGCCTCATGGCGCAATCCTTTTCTTCGAAGTATGTAATGTCTATTATTGAAGCACATCTCTTCACATGGTAATCACTTTCGCCCAGAGGAAATTCGTGTTAATATCCGTGTAACGCTCTCTCTTATAACTCTGTAACCATATAACTTAATTCAATGAAACTTGTATGACTGCTATGCCATTAATGGTCACTCCATCTCTGTATTTTTCTTTCTTAAAGTCAGTGTCAACATGGCGGCAGTGCAAGTTTGTGAGTTAAAAGAAACATTAACGCCCGTTAATACAGTTTACTGAAATTTCATTTGGCAATCGATCTTCGGAACTTTTTTGAAAGTAATTTTATAGAATGTAAAATAGTATGACGCCCATCGAAATCTAGACATAGCTTTTCATTTGATGATAACTATAAATAACAATTAGAGCTAAATAAGACAATTATTGTTTGGAGATCAATCATAAGCACGCCTTCAATTTTTGTATGAAACCATTTCTTATGTTAAAATTAAAAAAAAATATCATTGGGGTGAAATGTTAACGGTATGTGTAATTTGGAGAGGGGGTGTTGGGAATGTATAAGTACTAGTGAAAATTAAGCTATGTGCAAAATGTGTCCCCAAATTGTGTGATAAATACGTATAGTTACTCTAGTTTGGCCGTACATATTGAAGCATTTGAAAAACTAAGTATCATAATTTATCGATAGAACGCTTGTTTGAATTTGTCGTGAACTTTCTCCCTTGTAGTAAGGCCTGTGTGTGCTTACTACGGAGTATAGTAGTGTTATATAACTGCCTGTTGCCTCACATTGTGAAATTATTTCATGCTACTTTGCGATAGCGCTGTCAGTTATCAGACACTAAATCAGTTCTGTATAGTTTCCATAATTTACATAAATTTCAATCGTAGATCAGTTAATTCTTATCTTGTTCTTGAAACTAACATTACTCAGTAAAGCCTCTTTGAAGTGTCTCGTTATGAAAATTGTGTTTGCAGGAATATCGTTACCTTTTCATTCCATATTTTGAAAATTAACACGACTTTGTGTCGAACGATGAAAAATGTTCGTTTCTGAAAATTTTACTTTATTTTTGATTCTTGTAAGGCGCTCCCTTCTACTCACATCATCATCTTCGAACATGTTGCTGCAGTGACAGCTTCTACTTCGCATTTTGAAGGCACTGGGTTCGAATATTGACCCGGAGTCAAGCTCTCCTGACTGAGGTTCCTCGTAGTTTTCTTTAGTTCCTTCAGATGAGTTCCGTGATAGTACCTGAAAATTAACTACGTCCGTTTCCTTTTATATCCTTTCAAATTTAACATTCACAATCATATTAGTATTCGACATCATGTTGACCTAAACAATGCGGTTGAAAATCTGTCTTTAAATAAATAGCTTAAGAAATAAACCCACCAGCTGAGAAACAGTGCTGTAACACAATGTAAAATTTATAATTATAGAAGTTGAAACACCGTCGTAAAATATCGAATAAACAAAAAAACTTGCCTGTTTGAAGTAGTGGGCTCAAAGTATCAGAAAGACATCTTGTGAACGATCCATGTTTCTTATTACTGATTGATATTCCTCCATAGGCAGAAACGAGTATCAGACCAGAGGCTGGCAGAGTTGGAGACTTACATGGCGCTGAGGAAGATGGCGGGAAAATTGGTCACCGTACCGCTAGGGTTCGGACAGGTGGACCCAGCCAAGATGTAAGTTAGCAATTTTTTAACTCTTCAATGTTCCTGCTGCAGGGACAAACGGCAGACGGACTTTGTCGTGAAGCAATACATCACTCAGTTAAATAGAAGGCAGGCGGTAACGATAATCGTGCCTTGCGCTGGTCTCAACACCACGAGCTGGTAAGCACAGCATATCGGTACCACGTGTGCTCAAGAAAGTGTACACAGTCATTTGAAATTGACTGCTGACTGTTGTGTCGACATTTCACCTTCATTGTACAAAAGCACTTTCCTCCCACAAAATTGTCGTTTTCATGTAACTGACCGTGAATATATGCTTTCACTTTTGAGACCATAAAATTGTCTTTGTAGGTCTACATACCTTCACACTTTAAGAACTGGGTTTCCGATGAGGGAATTAGGAAAACATTGTTAGGCTAACTTTGAAAACATCACAGTAGTGTTAACTGCAGCGAAAACTATCGTTGCGTTACTTTGATATCATGCGTTACACTTTCACCATCCTGCCTCAAATAAAGGGCTACAGACTTCATTACACTTTTGAATTCATAGAAAGAACAGGATATTTGAGAGTGAAAACATTTATACAAATTCATACAAATGATTGAATTTCCCCTGTTAGAGTAAGAAAAATTAAATGTTTTATTTGCACAAATACGTCGAAAGATAATGTAAGTTCCAACTAAACATTTTAGTTCCACTGAAAACATACGCAGAATTAATTTACAGTATTCGTTTCCACAGAAGAACAACACAATGACAAGTTGCGTGATTACGCAATAAGGCGTAACAAGAAAGGCTTGTTCCCATAAGGTTATAAAATCTTATTAAAATTACACATTTATTAAGTAAATTACAAATCTGTATCGACTCCTTTTACAATTTCAACGTATGTTGAAATATGTAACGTATTTATTATTTGTAAATACACTACATTTTTACCAATGATGGAAACTGAAATTAACGAATTCATTTCTTATCCGTTTTAACACAGGACGGTAGTTTGAAGAAAGTGAAAATTTATTTAAAATACCATTAATATGTGATATTTGAATGCGAGAACCATTTTTAAAAAATCACATTAATATCGCAGTATCGATGTTATATAATCTGAGCTATAGACCGCATCGTTAAATCGACAACATTAAATATGCTAATAAAATCAGAATATGACAAAACTTCTTATGATAAAACTAAATC